ATGAAGCTTCTTCAGTCAGTCACTTTCTGCGGAAACATAGGTCTGAGATTACTGTTATCACTAATAGAATCACAATCAGTAGGATTCAAAGTAGTCAAAATATTCCAAGGTATTTAAATAGTGCTAGAATAAATTCATCTTATTTTTGCCAGTGCCAGTTGGGAATGTGCCAGTTTATTTCTGCACTGACAAAAGAATGAACGTGTCAAAATGTCTGTTTTCCATTATTTCCTAAGAGATACACACATCAAGGGTAGCACATTACACTCCTCCTGCCCTCCCCCCATTTTTGGAATACCTTTGTAGAACTAACAGGCTACACCAGCTGCACCGTTAAATATTTTTGTAAGAAGCATCTGATTTCAGTCTCTGAAAAATCGTGTCTCTTGAAAGGCTAGCAGAGAGATTCTTCAACTTATAATTCATCAAATTACTTTTAGATAAGGAATTAGAAGTATTATTTAAGGGCAGAGGTTAATAGCAAACTACTGAGAATGTTATGTTAGTCATGGGCAATTAATAAAAATAAGGATCCGTCTTGTAAGTATAGAGACACAGAAGTGACAATATAAGCAAAATATTTGTTGAATGAGTCAGAGCTCCTTTTCTGAAATATTTGTTAAACCAGCGTGAATGTGATTGTTTAGGAATTAGCTATCATTATTAGCCATTTTAAAAGAACTAATGATTTTCTTTTCCAAAGAACATCTGCGATCCACATGTTTCCTCACATATATCCCACTGCTAACTGATCTCTGGCTTACTTTAAAAAGTTCCTAAAGGATATGAAAAATCATTGGAGATTTTCAGATTTTCAGTCCTTCTTAGAGAAAAGCTTTTCTTACATGAAGGGTTCTTAATTTAACTTTAACAATTTTTAGTTACAGGCATTTAATTCTAAAAAGAAATCATGGAAGCTCAATGTTTAGCACTTATTGCAATAGTAGATTAGTAGTGAAGTTAAAAGAGAATATCTTCGGTTCTATTCTTGGTGAACCTCTTTGCTTTTCTTTAAAGGTAAATAAAATTTGCTCCATTTAAGCACAAGGTCCTGTCAGCTGCCATAGTTGAAGCACACAGGCCAGCGGGAGAGGGAAAGTAACCAGAACCACAGTTAATAGTCAAACATCAATTTCAACATACTGTTTTGTACTTTACAACTTTGTAGGGGTGGTGGCGGGGGGGGGGGGGGGGGGGGGGGGAAGTTGGGGAGGTGGAGAGGAAAGGGACAGTAGGGGAAAAATAAAGGAGGGGGTAACAATGCTCAATAGGAAATGGACTCATTACCTTGCTCATGTAACTGTAACCTCTCTGTACAGTATCTTTACAATATAAAAAATGTATATTAAAAATAGTCAAACATGGAATAAGATGCATTTTTAACACCAACACAGCAACAAAAATTTAGAAGTACAGTATAACAAAATAGCTTAATTTAAATGTATACTTCTGTTGGTGTCCAGATTGAAATATCAAAAGGAATATTCTTCCTCTAAATTGCCTTTGTAATATGAAAACATATTAGTAGAAACATAAATATATACTATATGAAATAAAAATAGCTTAAATGTAGGAAAATAGGCGACATTTTTATGGCTTAACCTAAACAGCAAATATTTACCCATCAGAACTAACTAAACCAAAGATCTGATATACAGGTACAAATAATCAAATTCAGCTTTGGACATTCTTTCTTGTTATTGTTTTTGGTCGTGGGGCTTGAACTCTGGGCCTGGGCGCTGTCCCTCAGCTCTTCAGCTCAAGGCGAGCGCTCACTCTACCACTTGAGCTACAGCGCCACTTCCTCAAATTCAGCTTTGTAGTTAAATGTTATAGTCACATAAGTAGAGCTAAAATACATAGTACTACAGCTTTCTGGAAATAAACATGAAACACTGTGGTTTGGAGAGAAATAGGCCCAATGGCTCTGTGATGATGATGATGATTATTTTTTTTATTTAGTAGATACTTTTTCAAGTAAATCATTCATTTACTGACTCTGTCTTCAATTATTTTTATTCAGTGGCATCAAATGAATGTATTATTGCATGACTGTTCCCACATTAAGTATTTGTAAAAGATCTGTTACATAGAGAATCTCTTAGAGCTGGAGGTATGACTCAGTGGTACAGCACTTGCCTAGCATGTACAAGGTCTTGGGTTCAATTAGGGCAATAGAGGGGACCCCACTTCTCCAGATACCTAGTAGCACTTCCCACTGGTGAGGTAGTAGATGGCCTGGGGAGCTGATGTGTCAGTCTCCATGTTTTCATTTAAAATCTTAATGTCAGCCACTTAGGGGAAAGCAAGCCTGATCTTTCACTATACATTGCAATCAGGAAAACATTCTCTTGAATGGTTCATTTTGGGAAGAAAAGATCAGACTATCTATCCTCTGGCTTCATCTGCCAATAACTCAGAAAACAAAACTCTCTGTGGCTACATCTAAAAATCACATTAAAAAGAAACTCTACTCTGTCCATTCTCATCCAATTAACCTAATTGAAATTTCCAAGGAAGCCCTGGTCCTAGAAACAGCCTAGGAAAGAGAATTGAGTGTTCATGATGATGAGGGCCCTGAAAGGAAGAGAGAGAAAACGGAGGATGAAGAGATTCAGTGAGAACATGGCCTTAGGAGGAAGGAAGCATAAGAATGTATGATAGGCTCTAGAGAGCCACAGAGATTGGAGCTGGATCTTTGCACCACTTTGCCAGCCAATCCCTGACCTCACTTGGTTCTGGGGGCCAGTGATAGGGAATAACGTCCTTCTGGACATGTCCAGTTAGCAAGCTGGCAAGACAGTCTGCGGAGTATAGTACGGATGAGAGCTGTTGGCAGGCAGCACAACAGCTTAGAAGAGTGCTAGCCTTGACCAACAAAAAAGAAAACAAAAAAAAACATTCAGAGTCAGAGCCTAGACCCTGATTCCAGACCCAGGACTAGAAAAAAGAAAATAAAACCAATGCAACCCTCAGATCTCAGCTTCCTGAATAGCCAGGATTACAGGTGTGAGCCACCAATGTCCATTGCTACTCAGTTCTTTCTTTTTTTCCCCTGGTCCTGGGGCTTGAATTCAGGGCCGTAAGCACTGTCCCTTAGCTTCTTTTACTCAAAGTTAATGCTTTACCACTTGAGCCACAGCTCCATGTCTGGCTCCCTTTTGTTGGTTTTAGGGGAGTTAAGAATCTCACAGACTTTCCTGCCTGGATTGGCTTCAATCTGCAGTCCTCAGATCTCAGCCTCCTGAGTAGCTAGGATTACAGGTGTGAGCCACCAGTGCCCAGCCTACTCAGTTCTTCATAGTTAATCACCGGGGTTAAACCTTGGGCCTAGGGAGGCGTTATAGAGGTTCAGATTTGGTCATTCACTAGATACTGCCTTCTCTCATAACTCAGAAAACCTATTTAAATGGTTCTGTAATAAATCATATGTTCATGCTATAGCAGGGGAAAAAACTAAATAAATAGGAATCTAAAGTCTCTTTCTGGAAGTTCTTTCTTGAGGAATTCTTCTAATGCCCATTCCAAACACTATTCTCAAACTGGACAGTGTTCTTGCTTACAGATATACTTTTTCTCTCTCTGTTTCTTTCTCTGTCACTCTGTTTCTCTCTCTTGCTCTCTCTCTCTCTCTCTCTCACACACACACACACACACACTTTTAGCTTATTTATTGTAAAGATACTGTACAGAAAGGTTACAGTTACATGAGTAAGGTAATGGGTAATGAGTACCTTTCCTATTAAGCATTTTTACCCCCTCCTTTGTTTTTCCCCTACTATCGCTTTTCTTCCCCCCTTCCCAATTCCTTCCCCCCACCAAGTTGTAAAGTTCGTTTTCAACATAGTGTCTTGTACATCTCATTGTTACAATGGGACAACCTGTATCCTTACTTCAGCATTTTTTTATTTCCCTTTCCTTCCCCAAATTAGAAAAATGTATATATAAAATGCAGGGCACTGGAATCAAATACAGTGACAACAGGGGTCATACCATGGGGAAAGAACATACAAAAGAAACAAAAAAACACATAGTACACTAAAAACAACAGCAACACAGAAAAAACCTCTAGTGTCTCTATCTTGGGGTTCATTTCACTTGGTATCATCTTATATGGTCATATGTACATAAAGCTACCAGTACAGTTATTGTTTATTGTAGCATTATTCACCATAGCTAAGATATAGAACCAACCCAGATGCTCCTCTGTAGATGAATGGATCAAGAAAATGTGATGTGGTGTGTGTGTGTTTGTGTGTGTGTGTGTGTGTATGTACACATATACACACACATACAATGGAATTCTATGCCTCCATAAGAAAGAATGATACCGCGCCATTTGTTAGTAAATGGAAAGACTTGGAAAGAATCATATTAAGTGGAGTAAGCCAGACCCAAAGAAACATAGATCCCATGGTTTCCCTTATTTACAATAACTAATATACGGCTAGGATAATCTTACCAGACAAGCAGAAAAGGTCAAAAGCTATGTCTACTTTTCTTTCTAATATAAAAAATATAATATTAGAAAGCTTTCTAGTTCCTAAAATCTGCCATACCACTTTTTAAGTACCTTCCTTGTTCCAGAAAGCAATCATCGGACAAAACAGGAGTAAAAGTACACTCATTTTTACTTTTGTCCTGTTTTTGCATGCCGTAAAATTGTTTTGTTTTTTTTTTTTTTTTTGGTCCAGTCGTGGGGCCTGAACTCTGGGCCTGGGCGCTGTCCCGAAATTGTTGTAAATTCCCTAGCCCTTGGAGTCTGAAAAGCATCTATTCTTTACAGTGTAAATCAGAACATTCATTAGAAATGGAGCCTTCCTGCTACATAGCTTTAACTACCCTTTCTTCATAGGTTAAGAGAAAAAAATAATGTTAAAGTGGTTGGAGTGTTGTGAGCATATGAAAAAGCTGATTTATAGAATCTTTCCTTTTTATCTCCTAATGGGACATGCCAGCCTCCACTCCCACAACTGAAATACTATCACCTGTCTCTACAGGGCTGGCTGTGTGAGCTACTGCGCTGGAAGGAAGATCCGTCTCCAGAAAACAGAACCCTGTGGGAGAACCTGTCCATGATCCGAAGGTTCCTCAGTCTTCCCCAGCCTGAGCGCGATGCCATTTATGAACAGGAGAGCAATGCGGTGCATCACCATGGCGACAGGCCCCCCCACATCATCCATGTTCCGGCGGAACAGATTCAGGTTCGTTTACCTTGGCCAGTTGAGAATAGCACTAGGTAAACACAGCCTCAGACTTAGTGTGAAGCTGGTGTCTCTCTTCTTGCCACCAGTCTACACAGAGGCTTTTTAGCAAGAGATAACAATACATTGCCATCTTGCTTGGGGGGATAGAAGGAAAAACGGAAAAGGCTTGTTGTTTTCCAACATGCGTACTGTGTTCCTCACCCCTCATCACCCCCTCCCAAAGTGGCAGGAATCCCCCTTTGCACTTCTTATTTGGCAAGTGTGTTATTGTTAGCATTGGGATTTGTGTGTGAGAGCCTAGAATTTTTGTTGTGTGTTTGTTAAAAAATAAGTAAATAGTTTAAAACACCACCTATTCCTTAATTAATCCCATACTGCCCCTGAGGATAGGAATTACTGCTGCTCATTCTGTAAAGGAAGTTTTGCAGAATCACAGTTTTATACCTTGGCTTCTGTCCAGAGTGAGGAGGGGAGGGAAACATACTCTCGGCTCTTGCTTTATGCTCCTTTGGCCCCCCCTTCACTTCCAGCAGCCTCCCTACCCCTCAGCTGCAGGTCAGGGGTGAGTCATGTCTGTTTGTCTTTCCTGTAGAGCCCCTCTCCCAGCACCCTTGGGAAAGGAGAGTCTAGAGGCGTTTTCTTACCAGGCCTGCTGACCCCTGCACCATGGCTCGGTGCTGCTCCTCAGGTGAGCGGGCACCAGTTACCAGCAAGAAGGGACCCAGAGAGGGGGGTGGTGTAAAGACCTGCTCCCTTGGTCAGGATTTTCAGTGTGAAGGATGGACTAAACCACTGTGCCAGCAGATCAGCCTGGTGCTCCTCTGGTCCTGTCGTGGCCCTTGTCTCAGAGTTCTGGGATTAGGTAGTTCATTGGGCTTCTTAGGGCCTCAGTACCTTAGAAACTGTGTTCTAGATGAACTTGAGCTTTCTCCTTTAAGGGAAAGTATCCTTGTCTGCCAGACTGCTAAAATTCTATCTCTGTTGAATCCCCTGCATTATTTCTTGGTATTGCTATGAAGAAACACAGATATATATGTAGCCAAAGTAATAGAGTTATCCATCCACCAGGAAAACAAAATCCTTAAGCGTGTATTAAAAGATCAAACAAATTGAAAACGAGAATCCCCTAGGATATCAAACACTAAAATAAGCATGAAAGCCCTAAAAACTTACTGTTTTAGCTGAAACAAAGAAGAAGAAGATATATGTTAAGTAATAAAAAAATAGTACTTGTTTGAAAATGTAAATTATTTTTTGATAAAATTGCTTCTTAGGGGGATAAGAGGAAATGCTCAGGCACAGTACAAAGGTTCTAATATTTTGCTGTTCACTCGAGTTGATTTGATTTGCTGATAAGAATTATGGGCATCAAGTGTACATAGATACATATCACTCATTTGTTCTGTATGATTGTGAATGGAAATTACAGTGCATACACAGATGCTAATTACCAAAGAGGCTGTGTACACTAAATTTAAATCCTACTGATAGCTGAGTTTACTGTGAAGACGAAACAATTCACTAGCCAGTGTACGGTGGATTGAACCTTTATTGTTTGGATCATAATTAAAAAAAAAAAAAGCATTGTCAGCCTAGTGTCAGGGAATTTGTGTGTGTGTGTGTGTGTGTGTATGTGTGTGAAATTGGAACTTACTGAGAAAATGAAGCATAGATTCTGGAACATCCTGTGGATCATAAGAGCTAGGGCAGCCTGAGAGTACATGCTTTCCCATTCTCCCTCTCTCCATGTTTTATTTAGCCAGGCAGTGTAAAGGGGCTAAACACTTTTCTTTTCCCAATGGCTTCTTAGCTCACCTTTCTAAAACGTCTTTAACACCCTTGTTTCTCAATCTTCCTTTCCAGTCTTCATTCGTTGTTGACATCCTAAGTTGCTTTTCTGTCTTCACCTTCAATACTTATCCTTGGAGATGTTAATGGCCCCCATTTTCAGAGCCCTGGGCTTCCTCCTCCTCTGCCGATCTTCGGATCTTCTGATAAGTGCACAGTAGCCCCCCAGAGCCTCACTAACTCCTATCGTCCTAGTTCCTATCATTTTGATAGTTTGTTTTTAACCCCCCAATGCTCTTGGCTACTGACCTGGGCTGTGCATTTTTGTCCTTGTCTGTGGAATTCGCAGCACCTCCCCTCCCCATTTCTGATTCTAGAAGGCTTTGTGTGCTCTGACTGTCTGCTTGTTTCCTTGCAGCAGCAGCAGCAACAACAACAGCAGCAGCAGCAACAGCAACAAGCACCACCACCTCCACAGCCACAACCACAGCCACAGGCTGGCCCCCGGCTCCCTCCACGGCAGCCCACCGTGGCCTCACCTGCCGAGTCAGATGAGGAGAACCGGCAGAAGACCCGGCCACGAACCAAAATTTCAGTGGAGGCCCTGGGAATCCTCCAGAGTTTCATACAAGACGTGGGTCTGTACCCGGATGAAGAGGCCATCCAGACTCTATCAGCCCAACTTGACCTCCCCAAGTACACCATCATCAAGTTCTTTCAGAACCAGCGCTATTATCTCAAGCACCACGGCAAACTGAAGGACAATTCTGGCTTAGAGGTAGACGTGGCCGAATATAAAGAGGAGGAGTTGCTCAAGGATTTGGAAGAGAGTGTCCAAGATAAAAATGCCAACACCCTGTTTTCCGTGAAACTAGAAGAGGAGCTATCAGTGGAAGGGAACACAGACATCAATGCCGATCTGAAAGACTGAGAGCAAAGTATTATTTTCATTCAACAGTGCCACCGGTGTTTACTAACAACGTGAAAAGTCCATCTTGTGTTCGCTCAGAAAACCTTTGTTGTTCATTGTTTGGCCAACCTTCAATCTTCAGAAACTTGCACAAACAGGAAAGTTGGGAAGGAAAGTAAGGACTGCACTATGTTTAAACGCCTTTGTTGTAACACTGCTGGGCAGCCCGGGTGAAGCATTTGCGGACTGTTTGATATTAAAAATTTTTGTTCAAGGGATGCACCCAGATGTGTTCCCAGTAAGCATGATACCAGAGAGGGTTTTTTTTAAGTTATTATTATTCTGGAGCCTCAAACAAGCATTATAATTTCTGTGATTATGATTTCCTTTTCTTTAACTATTTCTGTAACACTCCACACTGATCTTTGGAAAATCGCCCCTTATTTTAAAAAATAAAGAAAAAAAAGAGTTTGTTACTCTATTGTATGTTACAAAAGAACTATAGACTGTGAATGCAGTTTAAAGATGACATATGCCAACAAATGCCTTGTACTATAATGGCACTGCCGTAATTCAAATTTGTTTTTATTTTGGAAATAAAAGTTCACTGTAATTTTTTTTCATTCTCATTGTTACATGATTTTTTTTAAGAAAACAACAAAAAAAAGGAAAAGAAAATGTGAAACACAATTTAGTCCTCATTATTTATTTGTAGACCCTGCCGCATCTTGTTGTAATTAATTTTTTGGAAGTTTCCGTTAAATGTAATATTGCTTCTCTTGTTACCATTACTGATTCTTTTCTATTTATAAATGTATTTTGATGGGCAGTAAAACAAAGTGTCTTAAAAGTTTTAAATAGAGAAAATGTGCTTTACACAGTTGCCTATAAGAAGTGCTCTATGTTATCCAAGCAATTCATACTATAAGCTTCACTCTTACTGTTGTATGCAATTTTTACTATCATGCAAATAAGCTTAGGTAAATAAAACTAATAGATCACCTTAGAAAATTATGCAATTAATGTGAAAATAATTGATGTTTGCAATGTGTCTTCCTTTGGTTTACAATCAATTTTAAACCTACATCTGTATAAAATTTCTGTATAAAGGTGTATTTCTTTTTTTTTTTTTTAATGAGTTTCATGGCTATGAAAACACCAGCTATTTTGTTACAGCTGGCTGTTTTTATAAGTGTATCACAATTTTCTTTATGCAGAAATGTTCTGATTAGGAGTGGTTATTGACTGTAACTACACAATTAAAACTGTTTGTATGGTATGACACGGCAGGGTTTGTCTGCTTATGTGAAGTAACTTTAACAAAGAGTCCACAATGGCCCTCTCAGTTAGGTCCATGCTAATGTTTTCTTGATGATAAGTTTGTTGATTTTTAAAAAGAGCAACTTGAAAAGTCACTTGAAATACTGTAAATTTAAATATGGACAACGCACTCATTTTTAAATAGGCATGAAAATTCACAATGAAGATGATAATCTGTTTTTGGTTGACATTTTGCTTAATGAACAGAGATAGGACAGTCAGAAGACTAACAAGTATCTTTTCTGACAGTCACGCTCTTAAAAGGAATTCACCTGCTCTTACTATTACAATCCTTCAATTAAGCAATACTTTTCCTTAAGCTGAGGTGTATTTTTAAAGGCCATTAATAGTAACATAAAATATGTAGAGGAAAAATGGACTTTCTGTGTAAGAACCTCCTTACTAAGTATTGTATTTTTTATTACAAGTTATAAGTGAAGAAAGTTCCTAATCCTGAGCTCATTTGACTGCATATGTCATAACTACATAAAGAAAATAAGAAGAACATGCCTGGGATTTAAACACCATCTTCAAGATTCGTATGAAACCTCCGTTTAGCCAGGATGTAAAATAAGCTGTGCTAATAGTCACAAAAAGGATTGAAGCCAGTGCTAGGGTTTTGAGTGGGCTGGGTTTTTTTTTTTCTTTTAACTATATCTGTCTCATCCTTTCTTTTTAAGGTTCCTTAGCTGTTGGTGTGGGTATTCAGCGATCTGCAGCCTGCCTCCTCTGCTACCCATTTCCTTAGCCTCAGTGAGCTTATTGGGAAGCATCAAAATACCTGAGATGCTTTAGTGTTGAACTTTTATATCAGCTAAAATGGAATCATTGAAAACACCCAATAAAGCTTTAAAATTCTGTTTTCTTTTTACACCCCCCCGCCCCCCGCCGAGGGTGGGGGGGTGCTTAGAACTCAGGGCCTGCTTGTGTGCTGTCCTTTTTCCCTCATGGCTGGTGCTCTACTACTTGAGCCACAGCTTCAATTCCAGCTAGTTGCAGATAAGAGTCTCATGGACTTTCCTGCCCAGGCTGGCTTTGAAATAAGCTCTTCAAATCTCAGCTTCCTGAGTGGGTAGGATTACAGGCATGAGCCACCAGTGTCCAGCAATTCTATTTACATTTGAAGTACAGCAGAGCTGTAAGCTGAAGGCTGCTATTCATTGTAAACTAGTTTCTTAATTCATTAAGTGAGGAAACAACTGTAAACTTCCTTGTTTTGCTGAATTCAGAAAAGTAATCATTTGAGCCAGAGGAATTTGAATCAAGTAAACCAGATTTTAAGTAGTAAAATAGAAATATGCCATTTGCTTAAAAAGCTATTTCCTCAAATTTAAAAGTCTGGAGACAACATCAAATAGAATTGATGTCTCTCTTTTTACCTTTTTCACCAGCTCAGCACTGAACGTAAGGTGTCAAATACATATGAAGTTTAATCATTTGGGGGAGGAGAAATTGGTTTGGAAGTGACATTTTCAATGAAATGGTGAGTGTGTGTTGGAAATCATAATTTTGCAAGTAAGATTCTCACATCTTTTAAAGGTCAGCGTGGTTTTACCAATTTAGTAGGAAGTATGTTAGTGAACAACGTCGGTCTCACTGGAGTGAGCAAAATTGTTTTCAGGGAAGATGGTTCATTGTGAAAAAGACTTGCCCAGATGCTCTTCTGTATCCTACCCCATGGTATTGCCGCCCATGCCAACCTTCCTTTGGTTCCTGTGACCATAGTAAAATTCCTCCAACAGGCTTCATTGTGTCCAAGTATTTCAGAGACATTTAAAAGCTGGGCATGACATAGTGTTTCGAGCTCTTAAGACCTTAGCAGAGTCAGGTAGTTTACAGGTAATATTCAACCTTGTACATCTGAATCTGTCACAGATTTTTTCACTCAGCACTTTGCCACTAATTTGTATTACACTCTGTGGCCAAATAATACTTGCACATTGTGCAAAAAATAATGTTGATAGTATCTTCTTGCCACATAATGTGCAGAGTTGACACATAACCTTTGAGAACCAAGGTAACTAAATATGTGTGCCCTAGTTGTGTGGCATGTGGTAACTGATCTGTACATACCATGTAGAAAATGTGTATTGATTAGCATTTAGAACTAAGGAATCCTGAGCTTAAGAATTCTTTCCCCCCAAGTAGTCATATCTATACCCAACTGTGCTTATCTAAAATACATAGAGTGAATAGAAAAACCATTAAGTGCTTCAAGATTGATTTACAATGAGTATTCCACACATTCCATTATTAAATTCCCCCTTATTCCCTATTGTTCATATTTGGCTGATATGAAGGTCCTTGATTGTCACAATATTTTCAATAAATGATATATTCTGAACTGCCTGGTGATATTTTCAAAAAGTGCAATTAAGTGCATGCCTGTAATATAACTAATAGAAATAGGAGTATTGTGTTCAAACCACCCAGAAATTTGCATGACAGTATGAATGCCAAGAGGGCCAAAATATCATAAAATATGAGAAAATACAGATACTGACCATTACAAGTAAATATTTTAGATTTGACAAGGGTGTATTATGGATTCATGCATGCCTTTTGACAACAGCCGAACTACAACACCAATATGCACATTTTAATAAAATATAAAGTACCCTTATTAAGGAAATGTGGTAGAAGATATGTCTAGAATACTATACCTGTTTAATAACACCATATGCTAAATAAAACAGTTTGGAATTAATGTTTAAAAGATGAACAACATTTTTAAGCCTTCCTTAAACTGATTACCCTTCACATCTCCCAGTTTAACTTGATTAAAAAAAGCACTATGGACATGTTGAATTGAAACCCCTTTGTACAACAACTTAAAAGTTTTTACAAAAAGCATTTCCAAAATCAATTCATTGCATTGGCATTGTGCATTTAATTCCTTTTTCCACCAGCTATTTCCAGCTTACAAATAGACCTCCTATGACCAAAAACATTTGACATAGGCTCTGTTCTCTCTGACGAAGGAAAGCAGTAGAACTGTATATTTGTTGCCTTGCAAAGAAAACATTTTCAGGGAAACTCTAGAGTGACATAATCTGCACTAAGTTAAATGGTGATTGGTATTCTTTACTTTTGCTGGATCCAAAATCTATTTCAATATGTTTCAGGACAGGGACAGAATCATTCAGTCATGCTGCTAACACCTTGCCAAAAAAAGATGTCCATTGGCTGCTCTGGCTTCACTCTCTCTCTGAAAAGCACCAATATTACTTGCTATGGGAGAATTAAAGTTCCAGTATTTAAGTACACCCATGAAAGAAGGCATTGCGTCTGTAGTAGTGTGATACAAATGAATGTTTTTCCAGGGTGTAAACCTGTCAAGCCATACCTTGATGTAGGAACAGGTTTCACCACTGCACCTGTTACCAATTCTAATTTCCAAGTCATTGTCTCATTAGATCAAGTACAAAGATGTCCTGCCTTATCAGGCCTCTTGACTGGCATTGCACTCAGATGTGTTTAAAATAATAACAATAATAGTCATTGGATGCTTCATGTTAGAAGGCCCTAACATAACGTTCTTTAAAGCTGTCCATTTCACTATGAGGTACTTCAGATGGGCGCTAAAATTCTCACTTGAAAAACAAGGAAAGAAATAAACTGTGACTAAAAGAAAAAAAATAAAGGAAATAAAAAGGCAAATGGGTGAACTGACTTTTTCTGCTGTCAAGTAATCATATAATTCTTAAGCCCAAGTTTTCTATCTTCAAATTTATGTTCCTGTTTTCTCCTTAATAAGAGCTTTTGCAAATTCAGAAAGAACTGCTTGCAACTCAGAGTTTTCAGAAATACACAGCATATATTTTGTTAATACGAAAATGTTGACAACCCAAATCAAGTGCAAGAAATGTTCCACCATGAAATACTCACCCTAAAATTTTGCTATCCTGTTATAATGTCTATACATACTAAGTATTATCCTAGCACACAAATTTATGATGAACTTTTCAAATGCACACAAAAAGTAGAAGAAATGCCTTCTGTGGGTTCATCACCCAGCTCAACAAGTGTAATAATATCTAGCTTAAAGTATTAATTAATATTTTTGTATTCATACTTGAAAAACTCATTAACATTAAAATAAAGGATCTATAAAAATCCCAATGGTTCAATGTTTTTGCCCATAATAATGTGATGACATCTTAATTTTTGCAAAGTAATGATTTTCTAATTTCCATCAAAACTTGGAGATTTTTTTAACGCCCTTTGAGAATTTTCAAAAAGCCAAGTTTTAGAAAGAGAACCTGTGAGAATACCGCAAATATTTGTAACATAAAAAATAGAAACAAACCAGTCTTTCTTTATTTATAAACAATACGTGCTTTCATATCATTGTTGAAAGTAAAGTACATAATTTCCAGTTATGCATAATAAAATATGTAATTAAGCAACATTCCATGGTGGATTAAAGAATTAAAAGCTTCAGGTGCAGGAAAGAATTCATTGGCATTTTCTTTTTCAAGGTGGTATTTTGAGGTGTTACTTTTCATTTTCCTTTGACATCCTATAACAAATAAATAGACAGAAACAGGTGAGAAAATGAGAATATGAAGTCTTGGCTCTACTACTGTAGACTTGCAAATCATAGTGAGGGAGGATTTTTGCAACATGCCTAGCCAGTCCAAATGGAAAAGGACCCAAATCTTTGCCTGAGGAGAAAACAAAACAAAACAAAATCTCTAAACAAGAATTTATGTTCCAAGAAATGGAAATCACATAAGAAAAAGTTGACTGCATTTGATAATTCCTATATTTCAAACTACATTATATGAATTCACATGCCAATTAATAGTCTGTTAAGTTTATTTCTGTTAAGCTTGTTTTTCAAATGAATATATACATTTAATTAACAATTCTGTGCTATAAATACTGAAGTTCACAGAGGCATCTGGCATTTATCCTATTTTTTTTTAAAAAAGATAATCAAATAAAATCAAACCACTCAGTATCATAATGTGTCAAAATAATCCCGAAAAAAATTATCCTGCTTAGCTTTGGAGACTAAAACAATGTTAAAGAGATGCAATTCTCCATTGTTTCCAGTACGTATACTTCTTCATGTAATTCTTAAACTAATTATAATCAACCATATATGCTCAAGTAAATCTACTATTACATACTTGTTTTACTCAAATTCTGTACAGAAATATATTAGCGATGAATGAATGAATGATGAAGGAATAGATGAATGAGGTGTTAGATATAAAGAATGGAATGTTCCAGGGACAACCTTCTTGGTGATATCGTTAAACAAATATGAAGAGCCTTCTGATAGTTATTAAAATACCTCAACTGATAGTCTTGTTGAAAAGTACTATGTACAACATATTACTAAGAGAATCTAATAAGCCATTCACATCCAGTACCATAAAATAAAATATAAAGAAAACAAATTAATGTAAAAATTGGACAAACAATACCACCAATTGAAAGGTAATCTGGATGCATAGAGATGCATGAACTCCTGTAACAACTTGCTAGGGGAGACTACCAACGTTACTGATGTATCATTGGTGTATAATAGCTATACCTATTTAAAGAGTACAATTTGATATATGTGGCATATGCATGTCAAAAGTCTATAGGGCCGCCCAAACACAAACACTAAACAGGGAACTTGAATGTCTATGTAATTTCCCTGTGCCCTTCTGTAATGGTCCATACTTTTCTCATTCGCATCTGTCACCATCCCCATAAATCACTGGACTGCTTTCAGTCAGTGTAGACTCATTTGCATATTCTAGAATTTTCTGAATAGAGTCATGCTGAATATACTCTAATTATTCTAATAGTCGTCCTCATGTTCATTCCTTTTGCCCTTGCCCATTTCCTTGTGTGGA